AAAATTGTATTTGGAAATAATTGTAGACAATTAAGGTCTCTTTTAAATATTTAAATATTAGCTATTTTCAAATAGTAATTGGAATGTACATTATAATTTTAAAGTATAAACTGGGGTATAACTGGTTAATTATATAATATTGAAGCAATAGAAATATTTGATTATATTCAGAGTGGTTACATAATCAATAAGTAATGAAAATATAACTGTCATTACAATTTTTTAAGATGATGTATGTATTTATATAATTYCTTGTTATTACTTATACTAACAATAAAATTAATCATTTTAAATAGTTTTGGTAAAAGACATAAATAAGTATTTTAAATATACAATTAATATAACTATATTGTGTTTAATATTATTCTCATAGATTTACCTCCAATAGGCTATAATATGTTATATTTTGATAATTTGCTAATYTGAMATTGGTTATTTTTAAATAAATGTTTCAAGATATACTAAATTTGGGGGTTAATCATGTACTTTAATATACTATTAGTATACTTTAGAAATATTAAGCAAATATCATACCTATTAAAATACATTTTATTACCATGTATTTTAATAACTTACATAATTAGTACAACAAGAGTTCACTTACACCAAGATTTAAAAAAATTATTGAGTGCACAAAGTGAAAAGCCTCTCCTCCCTATTAAAAATAATAAATAAAGGCTTAACCATCCGATATCAGTGCACTGTCGCACTGTTTGTTTTCTTTTTTTAGCCCATGCGTAACATAGACAAAAGCATATAGATTTTTGGTTACAGAATTTACTACTTATGTGGAACTTTGTTTTAAATTTTCAATTCTTAGCTGCAGAAGTTGAATGTTTTATATATTTTGAACTACTTAATAAATAGTAAATTTTCAATTTGATACATTTTTGTGAACATTTGAACTTTAAATTACTGTAAAAAAAGGAGACAAATTTATGAGAAATCTTAGAGTTACACTTCTTCTTCTTCATCATCTGGCTCTTATAATATTCTTTAAGAGTTTTCACTGCCATCACTAAATCCCTTAATTTTTCTCAGTCTCAAGCTAGTTTTCTCCACAATTGAACTCCCATAGCTAACCAAAATTGATTTT